GGCAGCTTATGTTTGATTTCTCATCAATGATTCATTTCCGCCTGGACAGCGATTTTCAGTCCGCCTCTCAATTATATATGAATCAGCAATATATCTCCCTTCACTTCATGTCCCGTACAAATACCTCTTCCTCAACCGGCGTGATTACTACCTGCTGAGAAGTGCTATCACACACGCCATGTAAAATTTTTAGTTTTAACTACCCAGGGCTTTATACTTCCTTTAAAAATAAAATCAAATTCTGCAGCTCTTACGTTGTTCTTTTAGGTGTTTGGGGGGCGGGGTTGGCGGGAATGATTGTAAACTTTCTATATTGCACAGACGGTAATTCTCCTTCATCCTCTTTTTCTTCCTTTCCAAATTTGAATTCTAACTTAGAAATTACTCAGTTCTTTAGGTAAGTCAAATCCTCTTGTCCAACCCATATCTTCGCAACTCAGAATTTAATTGATGAAACGCTGCTGAGGACTTGAGGTGTGGAGCAGGAACTTGCATGCACTCTGGCACTCATTGACTCCACTGCCCCCTCTGAAAGGTGGAAACAGTGGTGGGCACCTCAGAGTTGACCAGAAGATGCAAAGAGTTGATTCCTCCCTGGGAAGTGCTGGCCGCTCCCTGGCACACAGACAGATCTCAACAAACACCCCATTCTCCTCACCAGGAAGTGAGCAGCAGATTTCTCTCTGACTCCTACATTGATTCAGTAGTACCTGCTCTGTGCTCTGTTCTCAGCAAAGAGCGTCCCCTCCCTCTACCCCCCCCCTTGCTCATAACGGCCACAATTTATTGCATGCAGGTTAGTTTCAGAGAAAATGTTTGCCTTCTTTGTGGGAGATTGGAAAACAGCGTCACCAGAAATATGATCATTTACTGCCTACCAGCATTTTATTTTCAAATGTTCAAAATAAGCATCTCGTGTAGATGAAGAGTGTGCTTTTTGACCTCAAGGGAGTGCTGGCTTTATTTAGGAGCAGAAGACAAGGACAGACTAGCTGTTCATATATTCCTGTGCTCTCAGCTTGCAAAACTAGCTGCTCCTCAGCTTAGGAAACTGAGATTTTTTTTTTTTTTCTCCGTTGACTTTTAGACTTGCATTGGTTCTCCCTTGATGAGGGGGTGGGGTGGGGGGAAGGGCATTAAAATATCCTGTGTATCAGATATTTATGCTATGATTCATAACAGTAGCAAAATTACAGGTATGAAGTAACAACGAAAATTATTTTATGGTCCGGAATGGGGCATCGCAGCATGGAATTGTCGTAAAAGGGTTGCAGCCTTAGGAGGGTTGAGAACCCCTGCTTTAAGAGGGGTCTAGTTCCCTTTCCACTTGACAGGTAATGCTTTTGCCTTTGAAGAAGGAAATACGGCATTTAGGTTGATAGGCACTGAACTTTTTTTAGGACCAAAGTCAATTGAAAGAATCAAGTCTTTCCTACTCAATGTGTGTGAAAATACCAAAGGTGAAATAATGGGAATGATACAGGGGCGGTGTGTGTGTGTGTGTGTGTGTGTGTGTGTGTGTGTGTGTGTGTGTGTGTGTGTGTGTGTGTTCTGTGACAAAACACGTGACCCTGGAATCAATCCCCAGCAATGCCAGAGAGCAGGGAAACCAGAGAGATGGCTCAGCAGTCACCTTTGCCCTGCTAGAGGACCCATGTCCGATTCCTGGCACACATGGTAGCTCACAACCATACAAAACTCTGGTTCCGTTGCAGCTGATGCCCTCTTCTGGCCTCTTGATGTACCGGAAACATTTAATATAGGCAAAACATACACTTTAAAAAGTTGTTTATTTTTTTGATCTCTTAAAGAAAGAAGAGTGTTTTTGGGTCAGTCCTTTATCAACTGGGTAATACTGAAATGTCTGACTAGAACAGTATTTTAGTCTCTCTGCCAGATTGACATTTCTGACTTTTTAGCATTTCACTGGCTTATTCACAAGCTGATTCGACACGAAATGGCAAAGTAAGGTCACCCGGTAATTGCTTTTTCGCAGTTCTCCACCTCTGATGAGTCAGTACAGCGCGGACCTCTGGACCGTGTGCCACCAGGAATAGATGTACAGTAGGAAGGTAACAGCCTGAGAGCCGAGGCCAAGGAAAGAGCTCGGGACTCACAAGTGTCTTCACAGCTCTGCTGTTTTTAACGGTGCAAGGGGGCCCTAGATTTCGCATGCGTAACGCAAGGTTTAGGGAACCTCTTGGCAAAACCAGGTCAGCTTCAGAATTGAGCACCCATCATGGGAGACAGGAGGCTGCATTTTACGGGGATGGTGATTTCCGACTTCATGATTTAAGTAATTATAGTAGTTTTATGGACTGCTGGAAGCCAGCAGCAGCTGATGAGTCAGTCAGTCAGCCTTGCCGGGGGAGGGGGAGGGAGCTACTGAAGATCTGCAGCGCTTTTGCTGTCGTTATTTTAAGAGAAAGCAACAGCACAAGGTTAGGCACTAATGATGGAGTGACCCCAGGTTCTGGAAACGCTAGCGAGACCTTGCCCCGAAGGTGCTGTGAGGGACTTGTCGTGAGCTGGTTTCCCAGCCAGACCTCCACTTCAGCATTTTCTGGGGAAGGTGCTTGTTTGGCATTGCCTTTCAGTAAATAACACCCTGCAGACATGCTGCTTGGCAAGTCATTACCAGTGACAGGAGGCGGGTTATTTCCTTACTGGTTCTCCCACCTCCTCTTGTGGCATGTTTCCCCAAGGTCAGACATCAGAAACAGGCGCCTAGCGAACCTGTTCTGTCCTGAGATGCAGCCCTGCACCTAGTGGGGTAGCTGGGACCAAGCATGACCGTCTCTTGGCTGGGCACGTCCTGGGCTGCCTGCCTGTGCCGCCTCCTTCCCCGGGGTCTTACTGGGACTCTTCTGTGGTCCGGACTAGACCAGCAGCAGCCTTCGCTGTGTTTCCCCACAGTCCAGCCTGGCGTGGCACGGACTGCCTTCTGTGGTGCACGGGGAAAGAGTTGAGATGGACTCTGAGTCGATTGCATCTTTATCCCAGCTCTGGCCTTGGCTGTGGCACTTAAGAGTCTGTGACTGAACTTTGGCAGTCAGTGTGGCACAGGTAATCATCACCTTGTAGGTAGCCTCACCGTGTGCATCCAAAAACGTCCCTTCCTTAGAGGAGAGAGGATGAGGATAAGACCCCCCCCCTCCTCCCCACCCCCCACTCCACCCTCCCCCACCACCCCACCCCCGTCTCTCCCAACCGCGCCACACCAGGTATAATAAACTGCAAGGCTCACTTGACCCCAGAGAGAGGACAGCAGGAACGCTCACCTCCTTATTATCCCCCAGAACGTGATGTTGAAATGTTCGAAGCAAAATTCAACTTGAAAATTTTTTTTAATTTAAAAAAAAAAAAAAAAAAAAAGGCCCCAAAAAATTCAGCGTGTGAAGTGAGTAACAGCAGATCTTGCTTTGTAAAAGCCACGGAAATGAAAATTTGTAGTACCACTCATAAGAACAACGGAGCTGTGTTGATGACTACCAACCCTTGAAATGGAGCACAAAGCAGGTAGCCGGCCCGGCCTCCTTCTTAGAACATGCAGATGAGTAATCACAGACGGTAATGGTATTTTCTTTTTCAAACCTGGCTTGTCAGGCTTGCCAGCAAATGGTCTTATCCACTGAGCCATCTTGCCAACGCAAATACAGTAAATTTTTTTGAAATCAAATGATACTTGTCAATTCAGAAAAGAAGTTAAAAAGCTCGCCGTGACTAAGATTCCCGTTTCTGATGACATGAATGTATGGAAGTGAACTTTTCGTGAGGCCACACTACAATTCACTAAGAAAGAGAAATCTGCGCAGTTAGAATGTGGTGTGTGCAAGGCTTATAACTGAGCAAGGGACAGAAGGTCATGTCCAGGAGTGGGTACAGCTCAAAAGGGAGTCTCAGGGAATGAACTCGTTAGTTATTGCATTTTTAAAAAGTGCTTGGATGTTTAAAAAAATAATAATTAAAAAAAAAAACCAAAGTGTGAAAATGTGTGAGACACCTCCCTGCAGCCCCTATATTTGGCAGAAGATTATCCCAAAACCCCTGCGTGAGATCATGCAGCACTCAGATCTCAATCTGCTGCTCCTTTCCGGTGTGTGTGTGTGTGTGTGTGTGTGTGTGTGTGTGTGTGTACAGAAGTGTGTGCACAATCAAAGGGACCTCTTTTTTAGGAAAGTAGTTCAACCCAGCCACCACTCATAAAGACAGAGGAGCTGACAGTGTGTGTGCCTGGACTTGGGCAAAGGCACATGAACGGTGGTGGAGCATGCTTTCCTGAAACATTCCAGTCCTTCTGACATTAGAAACTAGACCAAAGCATTGCCCGCGCTCTACGGAGCCTTCTGGTATGTCTTCGCTGTCCACGTCGAAGTGCGTGAGCGGTAATCATCATTCGACGAGATAAGAGGCAGAGCTGACAATGCTCTGACAGGACACCTTTGATCCCGTCACTGGCTTGTGTTGGGGGGGGGGGGGGCAGCGTGAGGGACGGTCCTGTCTTCCCTCGGACTTTATGATGTGCTGTAAATTGCTGCCAAGTTCTTTGATAAGATCGATAGTGACTTTGCTCTTTATCACTTGGGGAAATGGAACACGATTCCCCGAGCTACCCTGTCTGTCCCTGTTGTAATTACCAAACAGCTCAGGCTCCGGATTAACCTGAAGCGGTGGTGGCTTCGTG